TGTACAGATTACAAATATGTAGACGGGATCGATTCATAGAATCCCCTTCTCGAGTAAAAAGGATTCTGATTCTGTACACGATATGGCAGGATCGAATTGCAGATATCCCGTAAAGACCCTCCGAGCATCAAAACCATATCAGACAGACACGTCCAAGTAACCATCCTTCGAGATCACGTTGAGGAAAACAAAGGAAGCAAGACCAATCAAGGGTGTAAATATCGCCTCGGACGGCACGCCTGGGAATTACAGGGCACCTGATAATTAACACGCAACTACGCCCATTCTATTTTTTCAAGACGTTAGGGCTAAGCAACCGACAGGTAAAAGTATGTTATTACCCGAAAGACCATTCAATGGGACTACTTCCTGACTTCAGCAACTTCCACTCTCAAATAATTCAAAAGAAGAAACTACGAAGTTCGCCGAATCCACCCCTCACACGTTGCCCTTCACCTTCCTTCGCGCTTTCCAATGCAGATGACAGTGCGACAGTCTACCTCCACTTCCATCAATCTTGGTTCGGATCGCAGTCTTCATGGCCAGGATATCTGACGGCTAGTTTCTCTCTGCATATTTTCTTTCAGGTCTCCCTGCGCACATTTCTCTTCGAGCTTCGTTGTGAAAATGGTCCAGAGAACAAGAGACTTGCAATACGGACTGGGCGACGGGGTGAACATATCGAATTTTGTTATCTTGATTTGAATCATGCCATAGTGGAACTGGTTGAGGTCAGAAAATTCTTGTTGAACGAGCTTGAGCGAGCCTACTTTCACTTCCCGGCTGCCTAGTTTCAGGGTTATTACAAAATTAAATTAGGGAGTCACTTATCCACCATTCATTATGTTGCAACTGCGAACTGCGAAGAACTCAGCAAGAGAAGCGTGTTAGTACACCAAGTGAGTGCGAGTACACCGAGGAATAACCCGAAATCCGATGCTTGCTCAGACCTTATTTCATCCCCCTGCCATAGTGACGATCGGAGGTTGAAGTAAGACAGAATTCCATATTCACAAGAATGAAATAACATATTCAAAATAGCCAACACCACAAGAGATTCCCAATATCCACAGCTAGTAAATATGGCATCCATGCATCATGGCTAGTCAAGGCGCTCAATTAGAGATTCTCAGCAACAAGTCTGAATGGCCTACGGAAATGAGACCTCAACGAAGCTGGATGAGCCAGAAAGAACAGAAGGCAGGAAAGAACATCCCCTCTCTCCCTGGCATATTGGTTGCGTGCGTTAGTACATTAGTAGGATTCCTTTCCTGGTGAGAGTTGCGCTTGAGCGGAACGAGAGAAAAACTAGGCTACGTTTCACCTTGACTAAGAAATGCCACCTTTCCAAGCCTTTCATGCTAACTTAAGGGATCCGTGTTGATAAGGTGCCCTCAGATATAACTTGCATTGAAGCTGTATACAATCAGAAACGTGCGAAAATTTGGCCAAGAAATGTTAACATCGTTAAACGAAGTGAAAATCAAGTAGCTCAGTTTTTTCGAAACAGACGGAAACCTTGACTTCATAGGCTGCATGAGAACCAAGTGGCTCTGGAGTTTTTCGGAAACGGAGGCATCCATGTTTGTAAAGCCATTTAAACGAGACATAGTCCCTTACCAGAATTAGTCAACCATAACATTTGAGAATATTATGTGGCCTGTAGGCGATACGAAATCAGGTCTCGCTGCCTCCAGGTGCTCATGCAAACAGAATGAAATGGGAGCACCTTTAGGGGACAAGGCCTGATTTTAAGAAGAGGCAGGAGAAGTCTTTATAAATGCTAAAATTTGCACGGTTACGGAGACAGCTATTTCCATAAGTGGCTAAATACGTGATATTCGAATGAATACAGCAAATGGTGAAGTTAACTCGTCATTTGGATGTGTTGTACAGAGATAATTTTATGTGGACACTGCACCATTGCAAATACAATAGTGGCAGTTTATTTAGCCATTTGTTTCCGATCAAACGGAATAATTAAAAAGCCTTGAAAATGAATTCTGAAAAGGTGGAAACTACGATGCTGCAGGGTTAATCAAACGAATCCGGAGAATAAGCGAAATAATCTCAGGTTCAGGAGCAGATTCATGGCATTTCAGTTTCAAGTCGTCGCAAATATGGATATGGGGAATGCAATTCCGAATGTTCCTCCCAGCCGACTTCCTAATTTTGCAGCCAAGTTCGAGGCCTTCAAGAAAGTCCTGGCAGTCCATCGTACGGCATAGTGCGAGTACAAAGTTCAACATTCACAGATCTCGCTTGGTGGACACAGCAAACATCGCCATCATCCATGTCGCCAAACCTGAATACATCTCCGTAATTTTCTGTCGACGGCATCAAGTTGGCCAGAGCTTATTCATGAGGAAGGGATAGGGTAATCGAGCCACAGGAAACACACTATTCGATGATCTCTCCCTAGAAATGGTTGCCTTGACGACCCAAAGGGTAAACCAGGCTCTGCGATTCTTTAGAAGTCAGGTGACTGTGCAAGGGGAATAATCCCACAGAGCCTACCATTCCAGTCCCTTGAGGGTAGCCATGACGACGAAGCAGGAACAAAGCATCCAACATCCTCTTCCTCGTTCCCTGTAGCCGTACAGTACGTAAATACTAGATGGCTTTACCAGAATTGGGGGGGGGAGGATTTCTCATTTAGTTCAACGACTTCCCTCTCATTTATGTTTGCTGGGCAATGAATATGGCATAAATAATCCTCTACCAGATGGCTCCAGGATCGAGTGTTTGTCTTCATACAGGGGGAGTTCCTAGAAAATTATGAGAGAGATGCTTTGGTTCTGAAATGGGAGGAAGATTGATACAATCCTCCTGAGACCAGGAGAGGTCATCTTCAGCAGATAAAAAAGTCACCCAGCTTCCCGTTCATCATATTCCATCCAGATGCGGAGAGGTCGTACCTAACCCAAGTTCGACCAGAGCTTGCGAGAATTTAATTTATACTGCCCTTGTTGCCTTCCTTCTCTTTCGTGTGACACCAGTCAATTGGAAGAATCCCGATGCATCCCTGATGCATCTTCCACTGATTTACAGACAGTTATCATGAACGTGTCACAACAAAACATCACCTTGAAGCCCTACCTCCACATCTGCCAAATAACTTTTCCATTCACGGCGTTTCCATCGTCTATGAGGCCGAGTTGGCAATCTGGGTCTTGGCATGGAGGGGAATGCCCACACGTGCCTCCGAGACGCAGTTTTAGCCTTGTGCGTTCCTTTCAAATCCCACGAATTAGTTCGATAAGTCGTACACCGTCGAATGCGCGCTGTGAATTGGCTCTATACGACCCTGATGGTCCTGAACCCTGTAATATAAAACCCATTCCTTTTTAAGTGCATTTCCTCCATCTCAGGATTTCTTCATCAATTTCTCCTGCTCTGTGCTTCGTCTTCTGCAAGTCTTCAATCTTCCGCATCGGCTCTCAGTTAAGTTCAAGAGAGTTCTTGGGATGGATGGCGCTCACCAATTGTAATTACGTAGGCTTATTACAGACTTGTGCTCAACACAATACGGTTCATAAGGCTTTCGCTGCCAAGCGCCACATAAACCCGAATCTCTTTCTCTTTCTGCCTCTCTCTTAGTTAACATTAAAGGAATCCTAGATGCTTTTTCGTCTCGCCCCAGTACCAGAACAACCAATAATGGAACTCCGGCTGGAGCCGTACTAATTCACCCATATATTTCCCCTGAAGAGGCAATGAGACGAAAAGCATCTAGGATTCCTTTAATGTTAACTAAGAGAGAGGCAGAAAGAGAAAGAGATTCGGGTTTATGTGGCGCTTGGCAGCGAAAGCCTTATGAACCGTATTGTGTTGAGCACAAGTCTGTATGAGAGGGTATTATTTGTCTTCTTTCCCCCCCCCCCCCCCCGATGTCAGACAGTACTGAGCAAGATTTAATAACAAATCATTTCTGCTTCTAGTCCACTGCACGGAGGGAAACTAACGGAAATTTCCGACATCCGAAGGAGCGCACCATCAGAAGAACGAATATGCAATTTCGACATTTATCAGAAGGGGATTAGCCTTTTTCGAATATTGGATGTTAATAAATATTCACCTTTGCGCCAGACAGAATGACACTCGAGACAGAGTGAATATGCCAGCTCTAGCACGTCGAGAGAAAGACTGGAAAGCTTCGTCGGACATTGTCATTCCATCCATGGTGATCGGATAAGCCCCATAAGCACCTTCATATTATATCCCTAATAAACTTTCCTTTCTCTAAGTGAGTTCTTTATGTTACATTTTCAAAAGTGACTCGGATAAACTACTAGTTACTTTAAAAGTAACTTAGCAAACTGACTTGATCAATCCGACTGACACTGCCTGTAAGTATTCATGAAACATACTTCAGTTTATACTAGCCATAGTCTCAAAAATACATACACAAGCAGTCCCATTTCTATCAGCGTTATGATTGCCTCATCCCAAAGTCTTCAGCTAAGAAAATACCGTCAGAAACAAGGATGTGTCTGGGTTCCTGAAGAAACAGATCCAAGTTACCTACTGAAGGTGCTGCAGAAACGACCCCGAATGTTCGACTTAGCCGCGGTCGTGGCGAGAGGGAAGTTGGGAGAGACAAAACAACCACAAGGTCTGCTTTTCCCTTTTCCTAACGGGCTTTTTCCTTTGTCAGGCCCCATCCTCCTCCTCTCTCACGTTAGCAGGTAAGGAGCAGCTTGAAACGCATGATACCACATCAACAACTTGAGGGCTCCTCTCGACGTAGATAAGAGAGGGAGGGCCTTGGAGGGCCGTGGATCATTTCCGGCATTGAATCTCCCAGCACGCCTACAGACGCCAATTCCATCGAATTCAAGGTTTCCAACTTTTTATCTTCGACGCCGAGGCAACCTCTGCGAGACATAATTTAATCACACAAGCAATAACAGGAAAACTGAACCAGGAAAGAGAGTGAATTACTTGAAGGAAAGAGTCTGGGGAGCAACCGATTGACGAGAGAGTTCCCTACAGGAAAGTCACATCTGGCCGACCGTCGCCTCATCTTCCACAAAAAAGAAGCAGGATATTACAGAGGAAAGAAGTTTTCTGTGCGGTCTCATCAAGCCTAGTCTGCGCACGAGGAAACACCCATGCTCTAAACGTGGACGATAGCGACATCATGGCGATGGATTCCCCTACATACGCCTCTTTCCTCCTTGTTCCACCCTCATAAAAAAAACTCCTCTTCCCTTTCATAAAAAAGAATATCCTGCTATGAGTGTACTGTTTCCGAATGTGCCAAGGGAAAATCAATCGATCCCATTCTGGGAAAACAAGTAATATGGAGTAATATCGATTAGATGGATTCCTAGAACTCATTTTCTCCTTACATTTTCCATTTCCATATCTTGATTTTGGAGAGAGTGGTGGGAGTATACTATTATCCAACCTATAAAAAGCCAAGCATTATGCGAATTCCCACAAAATGAGTGGATCTGGATGACAATGGAATACATCTCTATTTGTCTTCCCTCTCGGATGTCCACTGCGTCAAATTCCTAAATAAAGGCATTTTATAGGGTCCCAATTTCTTTTCTCTCTCTCTCTCTGATAGCGGGGTAGACCGTACAGTGTCGAATAAAGGGTAGACACAGACCTCTGCTGGAGTCGGGCGACGGCTGCTCATCAGGTTCCTGCTTCACGCAGGAGTCGAAAGACAGTTCCTGCTTCATCGTCATGGGGTTGATCTCGGTCGACAGGGCTCGACCGGAGTCCATGAGGCAGCTCTTCAACAGGGGCAGCGAGGACGACGACGACCGACCTACCACCCGATCCCGGCTGCTGCTGGTCACCTGGTCGCACCCGTCCGTCGTCGACTCCAGAAGCGGGTCTCCGTCCACGTCCACCGACTCCACCTGAAACCCGAGTCCCTCGTTCGGTCAGAGCATCTCAGCGCATTCTTCGAATGCAATTTCAGGGTATTCGAGGATGCGCATTTTTACTGATGGGTTCGGTTTCTTGGGCCCTCTTTCTCATGAAGCCCAATTCTACGTGAAAATTTTTAGTCCACTTTTGCCCGCTCAGCCTCTTCCCTTCATATTCACTCTCTTCCTTCTACTAGTCACAGGGTCTTTGTACACGATCGAATATTTCAACAGCTGGCTTTTAACTAAAAAAAACCTCCTCGTTGAAATTACATGAAGGTGCTTTGGTTCAGTGATACAAAGGGCAAAGGGAAATAATTGTTAATAGTTTAGATTTAATGAGTCATGGCTACAACTGATGAAAATTAAAGCAAGACGTATCTTAGAGTTCATTTAAATCTTGAATCCTATATTTAATTTGAAATAAATTCGATATTCATGCAATTGGGGAAGTAAATTCAGCACGTCGCTACACTGTTAAATGCATACCATCATGCCTTACGGAAGCGATTTAGCCAATTGGCTACACACGTTCAGAGCAGCTGGTCAAAACCATTGACTGTTCCTTGATGTCTATGATTTCATGCTATGTGAATGGGTCTACTTGAAATTTTATTTATTTAAATATGATAACTATGGAGGTCGTGATTGGATTTGATCAGTTAGCTCGCAAGTGGCAGCTACTAACTCAATGGGATATTTCATGAAGTTACTCACTAGGCTTTGTAAAAGCCTAGTGAGCAGATCAAAAGTTGGCAAATCACAAATCAAATCATCTCATATAACTAACTCAACGTAAACTTATCCTAAAAAATTACCCAATTCAACAGTTCAGATCACAACTCAATATAATTTGAGCAATAGTATTACTGACATGCATCAATTAATCAATTAATTGAAGTAATCAATGATTATGACTGGGATATGCCATGCCAGAGATGCCATCAGTGCAGCAAATGTTCAAGTTATGCCCCAATCACATGAATATCCAATTTCCTGCATCATTGTGGCTGCAAATCATGATCATTAAATTGCAATTCAAGACAAAATTTTCCCATGATTTTATTTCCTTGTCTGATTTAGCTTAATGCAAATAAAAAAAATATTGGCCCAAAATATTCAGAACTGACATTTCTCAAGCATGAAGAGAGAAAGTACTCTATTGCACTTAGCTGCTAGCTAAAAACATGTTCTTGATGAAAATCCATGTCATGCATAATTCTCATGATATACGAGTCCACAAATGAAGGGAAAAAAAGACAAATTTTACTTAAAATATTCTAATTGTCAACAGAAGCATCTAGGAGCATTATAGCAACACTGATTAATTTCACTTAGAATTCCAAATGTATTCATAATTCAAATCACATGGAGGTTCATAGGAAGACCAAGCATTCATTCTTAGTGTAGGGTTCAGTGCTCTAGGAAAGGAGTTCAAGACCCACAGAGGTCCTTGAAGAGTACTACTAATATACCACCAAACACTGTCAAGGATAGGTTGAAAAAAAATTGGTGTGGAAAATTAATATAATTTTTTTATCCTTTAGCTCAATGATGCACAGGATTGGATCTTGAGGAAGAGATTTGGAAGAAGCTTTTAAAGTATACATGTTCCACATTCATTTCCATGACTAAAACCATTTGAACTAACCATCCAAGGAGACAAGAGAAACATTTACAGTGGAATATGTGAGTATAAGACAGTAAAATAAATCAGAACTAGAAAAAACATTGCTAAAAAACAGAAATTTACAGTTTCAATCAAGTTGTGTTACCATGACTCATACATAGCTTTATGTGATGAGGTATTAACCTAATTTTTCATGAGTATGTCACTTTATAACTCAAAATCAAACCAAGGTAGAGAATGTTTCATGGGGAGTGGTGGGAGGGGGGATTGGGATACATCACCAAGGTAGGTGGATTGGTTAACAAGAAGGTCTCAATCAGACTAATCCTTTACTTATTAGCTTCCTCCAAGAATATCTATTCAGAATTTCATTGAAGAATCCTGAAAGATAATGAATTACATCCACAACTCAGCCTTCAAGACTGCATGAAATTGGGTTGAGAACACAAGAGGCATGGAGGACTTTTTCATGGCGATGGCAATGAAACATAAAAAACTAATTGAGTTCAGACCAAGATTCCATGTTTCATATGGAATTCTGGAATCCAAAAACACATGCAACAGTTGCAAATGATATAATGTGTCAGCATTTAGTCAGTACAACTTTGCTGAAGGCACATTATATCAGCACTCAACAGGATTGCAGAAAATGTTCACAAGAGAATCTCATTATCTGTGTAAGAAAATGTGTCCAATGATGCCAAAGCAAAAGAGAGCAAAGAAAGCAAATGCTCTTTAAAAAAAAAATACTTCTCAAGTCCCTTCTTGCTGTGCAAGGAAATAAAAAAAAAAAGACCTTTTCCTATTCTGGGGAAGTTGGAGGTTTTGAAAAGCATTTTTTGAAATTTAACAAAAGCAAAAGGAAAACAAACTTTTGAACAAGATAAAACAAGTCAAACAATGACCAATGGATGAATGATTTGAACAAGTAAAAAAAAAACAACAGAATTTCAACTATGTAAACTCATGCCCTTTTCAAATGAAAACCAATTCATATATACACTCTTCATTTGTCATAGCACTTATATGTATCACAGAATGTCAAGCTTTGTTTCTTAGGATGAAAGTCTATTTTTCATGAAATAATTTTCTTAAAAATCTCATTCATCTTCAACTTAGGATGGCCAAACCCTAACATCTTAGCCTGCTCTAACATGCTAAAACAACATGGGGGTAGTCAAGAGATAGAATCAAAGCAGATAGCTTTCCCCCCAAATTTTCTCTTTGGTTGAGCACAACACTTCTTGGTTTGAAGTTACTTGAGAGAATCAAAAGCCTCCTATGGTCCATGTTGGGCATAATACTTTTTTCTTGAATGACTCCTAGGCCTGAGAGAAAAACTGATCATCAAAACATCTAGCACAAACCATGAAGGTGCAAGAACTACTAGTCTGATACACCAGAGGCAAATTTTTCTTTCTTCTTTCTCTACATGATGCAGATAGGTCAAATCCTCATATCTGCCATACACAAACTCTCACAGCATTCCTCAAAATGGGACAAACTGAAACAAAACTGCAAGAATGCAAAAACATAATCAATAAAAACAGTTTGGGGGGGCACCTAATACATGTTCATTATGCTGTGGTGTAGAAGAAATATAGTTATGGGACTAATACTTCAGTCAATGCAAAACTCAAGGAAAGCAATTTCCTCATGAAAGCAATCCTGTATCACAGAGGAAACACATCAGAAAGCCAAGAAAAATAGGAATCTCTGGGGGAAACTCTAAAAAAGGTATTTCTGCTATGAAAAAGTGAGTGAAGGGTGAGTGAGTGATATTCTCCTTTCCATCATTTGGCATGGAGGAGACAATGTGAGGAAACAAACTCAAAAACACAAGTACAAGGAGAACATTGAGTGATCTGAAACTAAGAAACTGAAACAGCCCATGCAGGAATTCCAAATAAAAACTTAATTCATGGTATCAAACATAGCCATACATGGGCTCTTTATTTAAAACATATATGACACAAATATGTCCATACATGTCCATATCATGTTTTGGCCATATAAGTCCCCAAACTCCTTCCAGCTAAGTTTAGCACACATAGTCAAATATGTCCAAATACATCCTATACATATGACTGCATTTGGTACTTCCTAAGGGAGGGCAAATAGGAGAACAAATAGGGGAAAAGTTGTCAAAAAGAAGCTGTTTGTCCAGGTCCATTTGAATGATCATGTTATCAACATCGTATGCATAGCTAAATCAAAGCCAAAGCAAGAATCATAAACAAGAATGTCACCAATGACTTCCTTGTGAAACTAAGATCATTCTCATGTGAGTGTCACAGAAAAATAAGTTACAAGGGTGAGGTTCTCCAGATGAGCATGACTTAGGCAAACCAGAAAAAGTTAAAATTTAAGAAAAAACAAGCAGTAAGACTTTAACTACATTGATACTGACCCTGACAAAGTCTATCATTAACATTGCAAAAAAAAATTGAATGAATTTATTACAAAGTAATTATTGCAATATCCAGAGTCATGCACATGTACAACAGATATCAGGTCTCAAGGTTACAAAAGTATTCCAGAAGCCTATCTTCTTATAGGACACCAACATGCCAAGCTGATTCTATCATTACAAGGGACATTCAAGTTCAAGAGATACTCACATCAGTCAATGGATCTGGGGTCCTGTTCTGACACAATCAGACTTTTGGCACCACCACGATAAGATTTTGTACAGTATATAATCAGGAGGAAGTAAAAGGTCATCTTTGGCAAGGATACAAATCAAATTCTGGATTGAGTCTCAGAGGTCCTCAAAGAATGATCCCCAGAATAAAATAAATTTGACATACAATCACAGTAGATGATTGGAGAAAGGAACAAAAGAAGAACTGAACTTGCTTCACAAAAAGTTCCTGATTGGGAAAAAGCATGTCCTGAACAAGTCACCCTCTAGGGGAAGTGACATGTCCAGAATTTTCAAATGGAGAGGGAACTGGGGGCAGAAGAATCAAGGAGGGTGTAGGGGTGGGCTGCTGGGCAAAGGGAGTTTTCTGCATCTGGGGAGGGGAGTGAACACATAATTTGCCCAAGGACAAGAGGGGCAGTCACAATAGGGATGCCCCTAGATGCATCCCAGGCTAAGTGATATATTTTTCAGCAGGAGAAGACATTTTGAACATTGAAGGGAGTCTCAGACTGCGAGGACATCCCAAGTATTAAAAAAATTGCCTAAAAGACTGTACAACATCTAAAATAGCCACATTTGCCAAGGAGAGCTGAAGAATGAGGCCTTATCGGTAATTCAGAAGCAAATACTCATTTCGGTACTGAACAAGTGATAACCTCAAAGTTTTTGGAAGCCTCTCACATTATCTGGCTTATAACATATATTTCTTGTAAATAAACTTGAACTCAACTAATCAAATTTGTCAAATGTGAAACAGATCAAGTCATGTGCTTAAGGCAATCAATTGATTTCTATTACAAGGAGGCTAAAAGGAGTTGTGGGTAGAGGGATTTCTGTTCAAATGCAAAATACCCAATCACATGACCAAGCAATACTTATGGCAGGATTTCACTGCTATTGCATACCCAAGCAAAGTTATCTTGCCCATTCCTTCAATCTATCTCTATAAACAAGGATCTCTGTCTGTCTCTGTCCATCTGATGCTATGTATTCGGACACCGTTGGAGATATCGACCTGAAACCTTCGCAGGAGGGTGGGGTCTGTCCAGTAGCAGGTCATAGGGGGGTCGGCGTCAGGAGGGGCGGCTCCAGGGGGGGTCTCGGGGTCCCAAAAAGGTGTTCCAGGTCAGCTAGATTCCTCAAGCATTGCGGTGAATGATTGAGACACTTTAGAATTGAGAATTTTAGAATTTAGAATTAGATTTTTTTTTCAGTGCAGTAAGAATATGTGTGAGAAAATGGAGTTTAATTTTTCCTGTGAAGTAAGAATATCATTGAGAAACTCATTTAAGTTAGATTTTTGTGAAAGAAGAGCCCCTTTGAGTTAATAATTAATTTAGAACAACTTTTAAAAAAAAGAAAAAAAAACAAAAATAAAATGGCCAGAACAGTGCTCCCGTCCCCGTCGGTCTGGCCGGAATAAGACAAATAAGCATTAACAAAAAAGCACATAAAATAACAACAGCTATATTACTCCTAAAAAATATCCCGAGCAACGCCGGGCAACCCAGCTTGTAAAATATAAAAGGGAAAAATGAAAGACATCTAAATGCGTTCATTACTTGAAAAAGTATTTTCAGTCGAAATACTACAGGAAAATAGAGAATGTCATCATTTTGTGACCTGCCTTCATTAGTTCCAATATATATTCCCAAAGTTTGCACATTCTCATTTCTTTATTTTACTGATGGAAGTGAGTTTTTGTATTATTGAAAAGCCTAGACCTTTCCTAACAACTGCTGTTGAATCTAACAGTTTCTCTCAACTGGCTTTGGGCAGTTTTTTAAAGGAGTTGTATGCTAAGAAACCCCGAAACATCCCTAACCTCATGAACGCCATTTCCACCAGACTGAATGCCATGAGCTTGGATATTTGCCAGAAAACAGTGGATAATTTTCCCCGGCGATGCCGTATGTGTCATGATCAAAATGGGAACCTATTTCAGTAAAAAGAAAACTGATTCCCTGCTTCCTTATTCTGCTTGTTGCTAGATACTATAGCGTCAAATAAATAATATAATACAATTTTGATGTGTGCATTTACTTAGTCTCAGTCTCCATCCAAATTTGTGATGGGGTTTCAGTGACATCCTGGAGTTGCATCCTCATCACAGAAAAACTCCAAGTATTTTTTACTCGCGCGATTATTCTACACCTCTTTCATGTTGCCTTTGAAAGTGGTCGCAACACATTCTCACCCCCTACCTCATTGTCTACTGGTGATAAGTCTCGTTCTTCCATGGATTCCATCCGCCTTGGGATCAGACTCTCCCGACTTCCTCATCCCCCCCTCTGGATGGGACATTCCCGGCTTTTTCCTCCCAATATCATTCAGAGATTGATTGTATGTGCAATCACTTGGTACTTGAAAATGACATCGTTGCCGAAACTGCACATCCAGTGACTTACGTTGATTCCGTCGATTTTTCTTTCATCCCATAGGGTAACTTGGAGGAATATGGACACCAAAAATGAAATCAGGTTATAGCGTCACGTCTAGGTGAAATGAAACTTTGCCAATATTCAGAAAATATTGATCGATGTCTCCTTTATTTATTCCCAATAAGATCCGTGCAGAAAAGTAAATGGGAAAAGAGCATTTGGGACCTCTTCACATGGGTCCCAAGAGGCCATATTACCCCTATTGTTGGGGGAACATGGCCAGGCATTAGGGGGAATATGGCCCTACACAATGAAACCAGGTCATCATGGTCCATCAAGGTTGAATTTGACTTTTGCAATGTTTCTAAAATATTGATTGATATCTCATTTGCTAAATGCCAGCAAGGGGTATGCAAAAAAAACCATGGTTATGGCACATTTGGGTCTTTTTTGAGTAGGTCTCTAGAGGCCATATTAACCCTATAGTTGGGGGAATATGGCCACTTCTGAAAAACAACTCCAGATTGTCCAGGAACGTGTGAAATGTGCTGGAACATGCTGAGTACCTTGAAACATGATAAAGGACTCTCAATGTGAAAGAAGAGCCCCTTTGAGTTAAGAATTAATTTAGAACAACTTTTAAAAAATAAGAAAAAAACAAATAAAAATAAAATGGCCAGAGCAGTGCTCCCGTCCCCGTCGGTCTGGCCGGATTTAGACAAATAAGCACTAACAAAAAGCACATAAAAGAACAACAGCTATGTTACTCCTAAAAAATATCCCGGGCAACGCCGGGTAACCCAGCTTGCGTCACAATATCCCTTTGAAATTAATTAAAAATTGCAAGCCATTTATGGCTGACACCAACTGCTTCATGTAGTTCAGTAGGGTCTTTCCAGCAATGACCCATATCTTAACTTCAATTTATACTCATGTGGGCCAATATGTCCAAGAAGTACATTCCTGAGTTTCATTTGCATGTTCACATCTATCCAGATCTGTAACTCAAGTGAGCTAGTTTGCAATGGACAAGTATGCTTTCATGTTGACTCCAGTTGGCTCCCCATTATAAATCACACAAGATGCAAATTTTAAATATTGTTGAAATATTGCATGTGCTTGAACACAAACTTGTGCAACCAATACTTGCACATCTCTCTTACATATCTTATGTGCACAATGTGAACCCATTTTTAGCCACAGCAGTATGACTTGTCTGACTTGAATCAAAATCATGGAAAAAGGAGGAGTATGCAGTCCCACATAGCACAAGTACATCCCAAAGATATCCCCTTGGAACAAGTGAAAAGTCCCAGAGATAACTACTAGGGACATGTTAGGGTTATCAAAATGTCTGGGCATAAAGACACCTCAAGGATGTCCCTTTTTGCAGAACAAATATATCCCCCATATGTCCCAGATATATTACAAAGGGACAAGTGAGAAGTCCCAGATACTACTTACATGGACATCTCAGCGATATCAGAATATCTGAATGCCTTTCTTTCTGAAAAGGACTCATTTCCTACCATACAGGACAACTCTTTATTTTCTAAGATATTTCTACTTGATCCCCTAGGACTCCCCAGTCTTACATTCTTGACCAATTGGAGAATAATGCAAAAAAATGGAGGAAATCCTTTTCTTGAAAGACTTCAATATAGAAAACACATCTCCATAGCTCTTTACATGAGAACAGATTTCCAACCATGATAGTGGTACCCAGACATGTTGATCAGACATTATTAATGAGAATATAATGGAATAAATTTAAATTAGGGCTAAAATTTTTCACTTTCCTCAGTGGCAGTTTTCCTGATGTAAGGTCCAAAAGTCATTACTTCTCTTCTGTACAGATCAAGTTGATAAAATTGATAGAAAAGATATGAGGTTGGAGATCAGGGCAAGTGAGAGACATCTACCATTAAAGTTATGCATCTGATTGAAGGTGACAAAGACAAAGGAAGATGTCTCAAGGACATTCTTCAAGGAATATCAGTAAGAATTCAACTGAAGATGTATAAAAGATGTCTCAAAAATGTCTTGAAGAGGTCCCTTTCAAGATGCCAGAAACTATCTGAAGATGTCCTTTGGATGTCCTATAAAGACTGTAGGACAAGTTGTCCAGTTGGGGATATCCCTGGAATGTCAACAAGCTGTGTGGAGGTATTCATTTCACAGTGAAACTCTTATTTGCTTGAAACTTCTAACTGCCTTCTGTGACAACAAATACCTTTCTAGTCTCTATCCTTCTGAAGCAAATGAAAATTGATCAACAAAGATGAATTCATGCAATCCCATTCCAACAGATTTTCTTTTAGCAATAAGTCTAGTCAAATTGATATTTCTCATTGCCATAAGTTCTTGACTTCCAGGTCTTTATTATAACCTTCATTTGCATGATATTAATATTACTCTTTCTCTTTCTGGCCACCCTCACTGACAGGGAAAAGGATGCTGTCAGCTGTTGCTACAGAATTGAGCAATACTCAAGCATAAGAACATCTCCAACTTCCAAATTCTTCACAGGGCTTTTTTCTTTAAAAATTTGCACCCAATCCATCTTATATTACTTTTGTGCCACCATATTTTGGTGAAAGTCTGGCAATTCCCTCCAAATTCTTAATATCTCTGTTCAGCATCCTGATTCATGAAAATCTCAAATTATAACAATTGAACTCTCACTACTGGTAAATATCACTCATCTATGATATCAGTCTATGATAGCAAAATCAAGGGAAAGCAGACATTAAAAAGCAGAGGGCAGGTCTTCTACCTTAAGGGGGGTGATAGAGGAGTCAGAAAAAATAGAAGTGGTGGTTGTAGCTGTGGTTGTGGCTGAGGACACACTTGATGAGGAATGGAGGAGTCTAATGGCTGTTGGTGATCCATTGGCTGAGATCTTCCTCTTCACAAGTCGAGAGCAAGAATTCAGACCGGGGCTTAGGAACGTACAGTCCTCGACCTGCAATGAAATGCAGTTCTATACTTTGCTCTACCATGGGTACCACTAATCTCATCTCAGCCTCAGACAAGCTGAGTAAGACATCACCCTATGCAAGGTTTTTGACATGCTCAAAGGTGCCATTCATTATTTTGCAATGGGAATGCACTGAAATGTTTGCACCATTAAGGGCATGGCCAAAAAGGGACTAAAGCATTTAACTTACATATCTCTGCTCCTACTACAGATATTTTAATGAAAATTGCACTGAGTATTGATTATTATGTTTCCAATGGATCTGTCAAATATCATCCATATTAGTTGGGGCTAAGGGAAGGTTATGAGCAATAATTATAAAGAAAATGGATAATGAGAATGGACTCATGTTGGTAGTGAAGTGAAACACCTTCATGCTGTGCTTCATGTCATCCAAGTTACATCTACCTTCTCTTCGATTGAATTTCATTCTTTGAGCTGGTCTTTCAGTGCATATAGCATTGATAAGCTGCTTTCCAATTAATGATAGCTGAATCGATGTGTATCAATAAAGAGTTAGCCCCAAGCCAATTCAGATTTTCCTTGATTTATGCCAGATAATAAAGCAGGGAGAGAATGGTCGCTCCAAAAGGGACTACAGTCTCTATTCTTGTATTTCTAACTGCTTTTGGATAATTGTAAACAGCTTCAATGTGGCTAAATTAATTTAAATTCAAATTTGAAGGCTTTTTGGGTATATATCACTCTATGCATAGTGAAAGCTTTATCAAAATAGTTCCAGTAAGAGCAGAGATATATTGGTTAAAACTTATCATTCTCTTCACTATTGTCATAACCTATATTTTGTATGGTGGGATATGTGAATCAAATCTTCCATGTAGCATTTTTTATCCAATCTTTGGTGTGAATGATTCAATGTTTTCAATGAAGTTGTATAAATACAAGTGGCATTCAAAAAGTTCTTAGAACATGTTATACAAATTTTAGTATGAGCTTAAAGCTTCATTGTGCATTTTTTACAATACAATTTCCATTAATTTAAATGCACTTAACTCCATCTTCTTTGTTGCTGAGGAGTTTATGCCAGCAAAATAAAACTTTTCTTCTCGATCCTTCAACTTCTCTCTCACTCTCCCACAGGTTTCTTCAAGGATTCATTGTTAAAATTAGAACATTTATTTTCCTTCACCTGTAATGCCATCAATTGAAACAGATGATAACTACTGGGGAACTGGATCAAGGAATGCAAAGGGTTAATCGATCTGTGCAAACCCACATTCTGTCAGAGCACCATGAGCAATGCAGGACTTGTGAACAGTCCACATTGTAATGAAACAGCAAGATGCTACAAAGGCACTTGGCTTTCCTTTACTGCTGCATGCAAGCAATATAGTATAATATTCATCTGTCACTGCTGCCTTGCATGGCAGGTAATACATGATCACCCCTTTAATATCCCAGAAAATTGAGGCAAAAATATATCCAGCCATCAGCTCTGGTTATCACTTCTTGGCATGTGGAGGGTTCATGTTTCAGTTGCATGGAGTCGCATATGGCTTTAGTGTCCCAGTGGCAGACCCAGTCCCAGTTCTGCAATCAGTATATGAAATTTCTCCATTCATTTAATTGTGCTGCTGCTAACTGAATTGCTTCTACAAAGGCTTGTTTTTGGGTGTCAGCAATCCAGGTACCCATCAGGTCCATTGAAAGAGCCCAGCAAACAATTTGAAACACATAATGCTGAATCAGCTTTGAATTAAGATTGAATAAACACTCGGAATGTTGCAACAATGTTGGTCCAACATAGCCTTGTTTGCTGGGAGGACACCTTTAATATACTTAAACATACATTAGTCATGCAAGATTGAAACTACTAAACCATGTAAAATGTCTAATTGCATGGCAAGAATGTGTTGGCATGGAAGTACCATCTTCATACAATTCCAAACCTTAAGTGTAACTTAAGACAGGAAGAAAACCTCTACTTGCATCCTGAATATTGAGTTCTTCAAACTTTTTGAATGCCCCTAGAAACTTAATGGAATCATGTGTCAAATATACTATTCATATCACATCATAGATAACGTCTGGCCAAACTCCAAGAAACTGGACAGCAAATGCCTCTCTTCCACCAGCATTAATGGGTGATGTACCACGCTCAGGCTACAGGATGATCGCATTTGATTTTACCACGGTTCCTCTTCCTCAGTATATGACAGAAGGGACCTCTCACATGCACAACTGGAGTGCAACCGTGGGAAGTTGATGCCCCACCCTGAAACAGAGAATGGCTTAGAAGACAAGCACCTTTAAAATGGAGGACTTTTGAACAACCCCAGAAACGAGGTCGGGCAGGCTTCGATTTAGCATCTATGAACATTTTCTGAAAGTGAGAATCTTGTTAGACAATATATGTGGGATGGATTTTAAACCATTGGTCATATAAAGAGAAATGCTCATTTAGGTAAAAAAATAGTCTCACTGCTTAGTACTCTCTCTTGAATTGAATATATATGGCCCAGCAATCCTTGGTCACAGTCCCTCACAGAGCCTCTTTTCTGGAATTTTTGTGCCCATGGTTGCTGCTTCTTTGACTTTATTTGGGCTGTTGTAACATTCCAAACTTAGCTAAATGATTATGCAATTGCACAAGTGGATAGAAATCCTCCCTGATGACATACTGTGAATGTAAACATCTCATGTAGAACCAAACTAGGGAAACCACCCATTTGGATGTCTGGTTCAAGAAACCTATTCAAAAACTCCTTCAAAGAATATTATTATTTCCAAGCTAACCAAAGCCGTTCTATGCATTCTCTATGCATTCAGAAACCTTTAACACTTTTGCAAGCAATACTGTTGCAAGAGTCTCACTTTATGAAAATGTCCAATATGACATGAAGTGCTTGCTAATGATGATAAACAAAAAATGGCTATTAATACCACTACTACAATAACAGAAATCCCTAAAAGGAAGAAAAGCCTTTGAGTCCTTCAAATACTTAGGAAAGGAAGTGATTCCATGCTGCTGAATGAATCCCATGTCTTCACTAGTGGTGTGGATTAACTTGGATGGCAGGGGGATCCTGGATCCCTTACAAATGTAAAAGTTTAGATAATAAAATACTTTGGGGAGAAGAAAGTCCTGTTGATTGGTGCGAAGAGGGAATTTTACTTTTTCATGGTTCTGCATAGTCTAACCCATTCCTGCAGCTGAATCAATTTTATGATGTGACATATGCATTTAGAGAGAGGTAATTTGATATGGTGACTTGGAAAGACCTTTTCATCGAAATCAGCAAATATGTCCAGGAATCCAGGTTCATCAAGATGCTGGAGGAGATCAGCAGTAGTATTGTCTGGTTCCTGCTCTGGAGTGCCAAGTCCAATGACCAAGTCTGCATGACTCAACTCCTTCAATTCCCCACCTCCACCTCCTCCTCCACCTCCACCACCTCCACCCCCACCCCCACCCCCGCCCCCACCATCTCCACGGACATGGTGACCCCCAGGTAAGGGATCACACACTCTGGTAACTGCAGGTTGGGATGGCGATGGGGATAATGTGTCACCATCTACTGGTTGCTGTGGGGAAAAAGAAGTCAGATTTACCAAGCACCAATACTTTTTTCGGTCACTGCAAAAAAAAGGAACCCTGATGCTACAGGCAAATATACCTAATTTTTCAGAGAAACAAATTTCTGCATAATTACTAGACAACATTGACCAAGAGATGAATTCCACACATTACAATTTCTTTCACAAAAGTATTTAGTGGAATATTATTTGCACTCTCCAAGCACTTCATGAATAGCCGAATTCCATTCCAAAAATATTAGAGAGTTGAGCTTGTGTTGAATGGCAGCATTTGTTCTTCGAGTCCTTGTTCTCAACTGGACCTCCAATATGAACCACAACGGACTCGATGGACTCGAGCGAAAGCGAGGAAAAGCAGTTATTCACAGAATTTGAGACCATCAGTTGAACTTCATGTTCAACTTTATGTTGGGACACGGAGTCCCTAGATCAGGGGTTCTTAACCTGGGGTCCATGGGGTAGGTCCTGGGGGTCCGTGAAGGGTCCATGGAATATTAAATACCTGTATATAAGGTAGCTCCCGAAAAGCATAATTTATAATCACAAATCCAGGTGTTAAAAAGTTACTGATAACCAGGGGGGGGGCCATGGGTAATACTTGAGGATCTGGGGGGGTCCGTAGGTGCAAAAAGGTTAAGAACCCCTGCCCTAGATTGAGACGTGATGACACTGTAAATTATGAAATTAAATATTTAGGCAATTTATCAGAGCTTGCCCACTAATGTGAAAGTGCTCCTCCGCTGTACTCATATATGCTGATATGTTTTTAGATCGGAAGGTATAGCAATTAACAAATTTAAGCGATTAAGTTTTGCACAGAGGTAGAACAAGGTTGCTTTTTACTGAAAGAAGTACGCGTGAAGATCTTTAATTGCAGTAGGAAACCGCGTCAAACGGAATCATTCCGGACATGAAAAGAGTGAAAGATTGGTTGCCTGATGTCTGGGCCCAAGGCACGGTCCAAGGGCTGAGCGGGCTCGTGGAGGCCCCAGGGAACTCACAAGAGAGGGGAAGTGGAAGACAGACGGACGATGGGGACTTGGTCCCCAAGCCGCGCCCTCGGGGCATCCAAGTGCTGAGGAAGCCACCTTATCTCTCGCCAACTCCTTCTCCTCCTCTACTCCCACCTTCTTCGTCAAATACCTGCACGGATAAACAGCACTTCAGTGACATCACATCATCATGATAGGTACTCACAAAAATCATATTCCATCCTCATCACATATATCACTTCATAGCGGCGGAGGAAAACAGGCTCAAGGACGTTTCCTTCAACCGACTTTCCAAACCATCGGAAATACAACGTCTTGAGGAACGTCACATCGTGGTTACCATAAAAGTAACATGGCGTCAATACGTAAAAGTTACGCAGGCTGAATGCAGGCGGAACCAGACCACTGTGACCGAATCATGTCCATGGTTCCTATTGTGTCAGCTGAGGGAAAGCTCCTGATTTTACAGGGTGGGGCAAAAGTTACTATACAGTTCCAGTATACTTAAAGTAGCTGTTTTGGTAATTTGGTCCTCTTTGTTTCAGAGAAATACTGCTGGATGAAGCCAGTAGCTTTTGAAATTACAATACAATATTATTTTTGTGTTATTGGTGTTTTTTTTCAACAACGGTAAATATGACGTTAGAAATTAACCTATGTTCTATGTTTAACTGTATAGTGACTTTTGCTCCACCTTGTATATTACATATTGCGCCAGAAGAACGCTAACAGCATAGTAGACTTCATGCCAAGGCGGACTCGAATTCCCCCCCCCCCCATAAATATTCAGAATTTCCATGACATCCTCACTGAGGAAAAAAAATAAAAGCAAAAAAAATTTACGAAGTACAACTGACATACGAAAACAAGGTCGTCTGAAAAGAGGATCCGAAATCAGAATACCACCAAAGATAGCACACTTTTAGTCTCAAAATAAATATATATTTCGTTAATAACCCACCATAATGAATCAATGTTTCACGTTCCAATGTGAACGTCACGGAGAAGCTGCTAATAAGAGAAGGTATCAGCGAGGATCTTAACGATTGGAAAATTGGCCTGAAAAAATAATTTATTGATCGCTTCGGATATATTTAATGTGAGCGATTCTGATTTATGAAGTCTTATTTCTTCTCGCTAGAGGTGTAACCTCGCATGACTCTTGCTTTGCTTTGTGCCGACTGGTTCACATAGGATAGTTTGCGCTTAGGAGAGGGAGAAATGATTTCCTAGAGGAGGTGAAGTGCAGTGCAGAGCAGTGCTGCACCCTGGCAAATTCGCATTAACATAGCTAGCTCTTACGACTGATTGCAGATAGCGTTCCACTTCGTCAGCGAAGCTAACTTATTTAAGGCAGCAAAAAAAGGCCTGCTTTTTCCGAAGCAAGCTCAAAGTACTTCATTAAATATCCTTAATACTAAATATAATGGTTTCTCCTACACACTCGTGCATCGCGAAGGCCTAACGTTTCTATCCCTTTCAAGTCTTGCTTCCTTTTTTTCTATTCCCTGAAAGGCGTCAGCATTTGGTACAGCTGATTGCTCAGAGGGAAGAAAAAGAAGTGCTTCTTTTCTCATTCAGTAGAGAACACAGTATCCAGGACTGAGTACCAAAATGGTTCCTATTCCCTAAAGAAAGGCGTGTCTTATCCATTCCTGTTTTTTATGGCTAAGTCAAGAAAAACGTATAGACACCGATACCCGTTTCCTGTGTAAGGTTTCGAGAGGAGAGAGCGGAGGGAGAGCTGGGAGGAGAAGAGGAAAGACGACAGAAGTAAAAGGCAGCAGCGGGGTCACGATGGAGTTGGGGAGAATGAATGCCAAAATTATTCGGGTCGCAAAAGCCACATTCCCTGGGAAAGCATCCAGGAAATCAATCGAAGTGGGAGATGCGGATGGACGGAGCAGCGCTGCACCTTACCTAAGTGGAGGTGCTTAATCCATGATGAGATGGACTGTAGTTTCGTTTGGTCCGGTAATCGCAGAGAAGGAAATGAAGGCTATATAAATTTACCAAGGGCATGGGCAATGTAGCGAATATGAGAATCCCAAGCGAGTTGACTATTGAAAGTGAAGTCGTGACTGGAGAAGTGAATTTGACAAGGTGAGGTAGAGGAAGATTATTTCTTTCGGGATATTTTTCTTTGGGTCGAAGAATTACATTCCATCGGTATGTCCATTGGATATGGATTCCAGATCCATTTGAAGCGAGACGATCGCCTGCTCCTCATGGACGTACGAAAGATGGATTCCATGAAGAGCGGCATCATCTACAAACAGGTGAAATGGACAGGGTCTGATGAACAAAACATAAGGTGCTTTTGGGGAACCACCAAAGCTTACTTTCAATCGCCCAATAACTGATGTTCCATGTTCGTATAAACAATCTGCGGGTCTAGATCTTCCAATCCAGGGCTATAATATGAAATAGGGCCTTTGCAGATTTTTTTTTTTAACTTAGGATGCATGAACAATAAGCCTATAAAACAATAAACCAATAAGCCAAGGGGAATTGAAAATGCTAAGGAGAGAGAGCCCGACCATTCATTATATAGGGTTTTTCAGAATTCGGAGTACCTGAGGAAATTACGTTGTGAAACAATTAATGCTTTTAGAAAGGAAAAATCCTTGCTTCATTCGACAGAAACGCTAAAATTAATGGTTTTCTATCTGGCGCTCCGGTCACTTAGCATTCAGATCAGATGCTTGAAGTAAACACCTCTGACTGGCAAGCACGTAACCCATTCATATCAGAATCGTCGGTTCGTTTTTCCACGAAATTTTCGCCAAAATACACACCGTCTGTCTGAGTTACCTTCCATAAACTATTGGTGGCACTGAGTTTTACGGATGGAGTTCGTGAACTTCGAGGATGCAGCGAACCGATGGTGAATTGATCTATGCGTCATGTGCCATTACGAACGGGGCTTCCTGTACGTGGCCTGTCAGCACTACTGCCAGTTTCCTTGAAACGTTCCACTAACTTCGTATTCACAGTCAGAGAAGGTGTCGGGTGATCTGGATACTCTTGGCGAAATAGGGTTGCTATTCTTGCAACCAAGAAGATCGATTCCTCATGTTTAGCATTCGTAAACACCATTATGAATTGTTTGATGAACTTCTGAGCACTGATATTATTATCTTCAATCTGATATTATCATCGTCTTATTATTCTTTGATCAGTAGGAGCTATTCATAAATCTGCACCCTCGTTCTTAATTGCTCAATTGTTCATTTCCTGAGCACGACATTTCTCGTGACGTTATTTCTATGTGATTTATGATATTGTGGACACAACACAACTGCTACGATAAATAACTATTAATTTCAGCGCTTCTAAGCCATATAATGCAAAAAATATCTCGAATTCTATGTATTCGTTACTTTTAAATTAATTTACCTATGTACTTCGGATTCTGAGACACCCATATATATATACATACGAGGGTCGCTTCAAAAGTAATGCCCATTAATTTTTTTATGGTTTATCTTTGGACGGAATAGCTCCAAACTTTTAACCCTTTCAGACTTGGCGTCGATTCCAATGGACATTGTATTTTCATTGTGTCTATGGGAATTTCAAGGGATTCTCGTGACTTAGCGCCCCATATTACACTACAATGGGCGCAATTATCACCTGTCAGATTTTTTATATTCAGTTATTTAATTAAATGTATAATATATTATATATGGCATGATATGGTAAATTTATACAAAATGTAAAAACGATGTATAAAACATAACAATTTGAATGACAATAGCGAAAGAGGTCAAAAATGAAAAAAAGAATATTACTCCGATAGTGGCCTTAATTCAGGTTTGAAAGGGTTAATGTAAGTAGCCTTGTGTTTTCTGAAGGTCTTACAATTTTTTGGGATATTTCCCATAGCTATCAAATCACTTTCGCCAGCGTTTCACGAAGGCTTGTGTGCCATTCCCAGAAACATGAGAAATAGATATGAGACTATCGGTATTGGTCAAAATACCCTTCAGCAAATCAACACCCTCGGATACTCTAATGTTGATAATGAAGTCGATGAGGTTGTCAAAAAATGGCTTCGAAATGTCGGCAAGGAATTTTACCGCGATGGCACACAAGCCTTTGTGAAATGCTGGCGAAAGTGACTTGATAACGATGGGAACTATCGCAAAAAATTGTCAAACTTTCAGAAAACGCTAGGCAACTCACCTTAGAAGTTTGGAGCTAGTCCGTCAAAAGGTAAACCAAAAAAAAAAATTAACGGGCATTACTTTTGGAGCGACCCTCGTATATTTATATAATTACGAGGGTTAGTCAGTAAGTAAGTTACAAATTAACACAGGTACGGGACTAGACGTTACAGTTCCTTTTTTGTTACTCACTCGATGGCAGAACAATTTAGGAAGGTATACGGTTGTATTGTCAAACGTGCCATTTGACAGTTACTGGGGCAGCAAAAAAAGATTACCACTGCGCTCGATGCGTGTACAATTGAGGAACAGTGCGATGTTGTCCGCTTCCTTTGGGCCAAAGGACATGCCGCCAAGGATATTCATAAGGAAATGCTTCCAGTGTATAGTGATACGTGTTTATCGCGTCAGTCTGTGTACAACTGGTGCCAGAAATTTGCAGGTGGACGTTCCAGATGAACGTCCATCTGCAAATTCCCCAAATTGTACACACATAAAGCACAGTAGTAATCTTTTTTTGCTGCCCCATTAACTGTCAAATGGCACGTTTGACAAAGCAATCGAATAATACCTTCCTAGATTGTGCTGCCATCGAATGAGTAACAAAAAAAAGAACTGTAACGTCTAGTCCCGTACCTGTGATAATTTGTAACTTACTTACAGGCTGACCCTCGTACAAAGCAGCGCAAAGCAGAACAAAACAATTGAGATGGGCAGACCCATCCCTTTTTGAGATGACGTCTGCAAAACAGGAAAACTGAAATAATTGGAAGTCATAACTTCAACCATCCATGATGGATGGTCCATGATGAAGTCATACTGAATACAGAAGGTTACTCTCTCACAAGAGAATAAACATATAAATAACGCATCACCAATGCTTTTCCTCGTCTGATCCACGGGGTAAAAGCATAACATGACTATTTTACTATCTCAATGAACATACGAAGATCTTTCCAAATACTCGAAACGAACTTCGTCTTAGCGTGGCATGAAAGAATCAGGAAGTAATTATGACTCCTCTTACGCACATGACGATCATCTGATACAATACATCTAAATTGCTCATGAAACA